GGAAAATACCTGAATGACATCTTTCTTTCAATATGAGCATTTGCGCTCGAGAGATGCATTCTGCAATTAAGAAATATTTCTTAGAAAATGGGAGTAATAGATTCATTTGACAGAATTACTGAGGATTATACAAGATAATTATAAAAGGACTAGTACAGTATCTGGCACATAGCAAGTAAATAATAAACAGTAATTCCTTTTTATGCTTCCCTCCAGATTAGATTGTCAGATAAGGTACAATAGCCATTTGAAAAATCTGGCAGAGTTTAAAGTCATAAGGGGTATGAGAGAGTTAAAGATATTCACCCACAAGCCTTATTTTGCACCTCAGTGCCAAAGCTTCTCTTTTCCAGGGCCATGCAAAAAGGTGACTATTGAATTCAAGGATATTTTTGCCCCATGGCAGAACAGAGTTATTCATCAGCAGAAGGCAATTCATAAGCTTCCACCATGACATTCTGAGAGGTGAATTCTGGGGACGTTTGCAGTGTGAAATTGGACTGTCTCCTGCATCACACAGGGTTCTGGTAATCCACTTGAAGTTCTAAGGCCAACGTTCCTATGTCACACCACCTTTAATTTAAATTTTAAATACATATTCTCTCCTCCCAACCCCATCTTGTTTTTCTAATAGAGCTTGAAGCTATTTAACAGTCTAATTTCTGAGTGACACAATGAAATAAAGTTCTGAGAGGGCTGGTTAGGGGAAAAAAGTATGGAAGGCAAATTTTATGTAAATTTAGAAAGTGCAATCTGATGCATTTTTTCCCCTTTGGAGAAGGTGACAGGGGGAAAGGAGAGAACTTTAAAACCAATTGTTTTGCTTTTCTTTAACAGAAAACACAGCAGAAGCCTTGAGCCCAAGATTCAGAGCTAATGAGTTCTTGGATTAAGAATTTTTCTTCCTACAATATCAACTTAATTAACCAAGTTCCTTTTTTAACCACAAAGTCAAGCCACTCAAACAGAAAAAAACCCCAAACAAACAAAAATACCCAAACAAACCTGCTGCCCGTTCAACGATTCTAACTCCTAGCAATCCTCCATTAGGTTTTTAAGACTCTAAATCTTTGTAGAGGAAGACTGTCCATTCTCCCCTGCCATGTGAATAGCTGGTAGATTTGAATTGCTAACTTTTTAGTTATTAGTGCAATGCATAATGGTACACCACCACCAGGGGTCCAATGCCTAAGCAGGACTTCTAATGTACAGGCCCACCTGTAGCAAAGACTACTGAGGTAAAATTCATAAGAGGTATAATTCTGCTTTAAGCAGGCAGGCCCTGGCTTATAGGAGAATCTGTCTCTAACAGAAAGAAAAAAGTGGTGGTAAGGTTGGAAAGACAGCAAAGTTATAACATAAAGTGGAGTTAGCATCCTAAGGAGCTAAGCAGTCGGTCTTTATAAGCAAGGAGGTGGCAGCCTAAAGCAGCTCAGCTCCTGACATGTTCGCAGGAGCTGTGAGGTTGCAGGTGCGGCAACAGCCAGTCCTGAGGTGAAGGTGTTTGCTTGGGAGTCTAAAGAACCAAGGCGACTCCTCAGTGTGGTCATTTCTGATTCCAGTCACCATAGCTCAGTCTCAGACACAGGCAGTACATATGAGGAGAGACTTATTTCCCAGCAGGCTATTGGGTGGCTGCTGCTGCTGCTGCTGCTTCTAAGGGCTGACCTAGTTTTCCCTTCTCCAGACTTTGTAGGTCCTTTGTCCCTAAATAGACCATAACACCACTCTGTGCTCAAGCCTGGGGCCAGGAGCCATCACTGAGGTAAAAGCCTCTTTTAAGGTTCACTGCCAGAACTGAACACACATTCAATTATGAGAGCAGTACTCCATGATCCTGAATCTCTGCCAACTAAAAGCAAGCTTCGAATATGCTGCTGAACTTTTACAACTCTACAACTCTAGAGTACATAAGGCGTGTGTAAAACAACTGTAAATCTTGCTGACAGGCCTGTCCCACCCACTGGCTGCCTAGCAGCTGGACTTTGTACTGGGCACACAGCCACCCTATCAACTCTCTCTGCTAAATGCTTTTCAACCCATTTCTCTCATCCATCTTCTCCACTGTTTTAATCCAGTGGGCTCTCTCCTTTCCTTCACTTCCTCCCTCCTGTCTCTGTCTCTCTCTCTCCCACACAAGTAACATCTACCAGAATGCATCAGCATGTACAGTGGAGCCTCCTTTTCACTGTATCTGAGGCAATCTGTTTAATATTTAGATACATAGAAGAAAGGAAAAAAAGCCCGTCAAATGTCTGCCTTAAATTCTTTCAGAAGGAATGGGAAGAAAAAAAAAGTACAAACACAGGTCACTTGGCAATTTTATGATTAACACCAACAAATGGAAAACAGACAGTTTTGAGTGTCGCTAACTATTAAGCATTTTTGTGCCAAATGGCTCAACCACCCATGTCTTGGGTCTATTTCTAGAAGGAAATGTGCCTGGAGATGAAATCACTTGTGCATATAGAGGATGCAGCCTGCATTCAACGTGTGAGACAGAACTCTAGGTGATGAACCACTGGCTGCGGGAACAGCACTTCAGGTATTATTAAATAGCAGATGTGTCAGGTTCCCAAGAACCACTCGGTTCTCTGGGGACACGTGTAGAATGTCAAATGTTAAAGGTGACTGTTGACAAAAAATGATTCCTCTTCAGGTAGAGAAGGTGGTCATTTTCTGGGAAAACACAGAGACACTGAATAGAGGCAAGTGGAAGACGTATAGTGTTTGCTTCAACCCCAGCTTGATAAGAACAAGAAACCGCCAGAAAAAGCCCATCCGCCTGTAACATTGAATCTTTGTGAGCATTTCTGAGGCAGGGCTTAGCAATTCCTTTACAGCTGAGGAAAAAGATTTCAGTCACCCGGCCAAAAACCATACATGGGGAGGGAACTTAAAAGCCTAGGCTGGTCGGCTCTCCCTGCATTTTTTTCCCTGCTTGAAACTGGAGAAAAATCTTGCATTTTGGCTGTATCTCTATTTATGTAACAACCACAGCTGCTCCCTAAAATAGCTGTTGCTGGCTGAAAGAATTAAGGGCTTTTGTTGCTCACATTTGGGTTCATTTTCAGGAGCATTTGATGGGCTTTCTTGTCCCCACACTTTGGCTGCCCCTCATCTTAAAGGGGATGAGGGGCCCAGTGAGCACATCAATGGTGCTATCAGTAATGCAGATGAAGTCAAAGCCATTTCCTCAGCAAGATCAAATTCAGCTCTAGATTGTGTATGGCCTGTGATCTCTGGACTCCCAAGAAGTCCCTCACTACCTTCCATTGGAGGGTGGCCTCACAGCTGACACGTAGGCCCTTTGAAATCACAATTAAAAAATAAAATATATATAAAGAGAAACATACAGCATTCCTCTTGTTTTGTGGGATGAACCCAGATCCAGATTGCCGGCAAGGCATTTAATAGCTTACCTCTCTCCCCCACCCGGAAGTAACAAAGAGAACCCTCATCAAAGCTATCAAACTAATTAAAAAAATACAAAAGTTATTTCCCCCCCTATCGACCACTATTTCCTCGTGACAATATTTGTTAAAAATATTACTTTTGTCTTTAGAGACGAGCTTATTCTCTTCATAGAATATGGAAAAATAAACTCTACAGAAGACACAGCTAGCATTCCCACCGCCGCCTGGTGGGTCAGGCACTGCATCTCCGGCTTGGCCACCTGTGTGAACGGGCTCTGCTCTCCGGGAGGTGCACACTTCTGGCGGCCACGCGAGCAGGAGCCAGAAGTAAGAAAAAAGGAACTGGCTGGGCTCATGAACAGTCGGTAAGGAGTTGTGCTCCTGACCCCAAGGTGGCGCTTTACTGGCAGTTCAAATTCACCAGCGGCTCCACAGTAGGGAGATGAGCATTCTCCTCCTATGTGCATTTCAGCTTCTGAACACCAGCCGGAGGGTCAGTTATGAGTCTGTCTGGACTCGGCAAAGAGGGAGGTTTTGAAGGCTCATGGAGCATTGTGAAAGGGGAGAAATAATAAGAAACAGGAAGTCTTCTATTTGCTAACAGAAAGAAAGGTAATGCAGGGTAGTCATGGACCTTCTTCAAAAGTCAAAGGGGATCCCCCTCATGCCTTCAGAGCATACACAGCCCTGCTAAATGCGTGGGGGCTGATGGAGGGGAGCCAGCAAGGCTCATTTTCAGTGTCACTGCAAAGGAGGGTTCCACGCTGCACCTCATCTTAAAACATTGAGCTGGATGAATGGTAGCAGACAAAGATACATAAAAACAGTAAAATGTTTATTTTCTTAGAAAAAAAAAAGTAGGGAGGAAGGGGGTTCAAAGTGATTGTGATCACACTTCCATTTGCATCTGAGCAAAGCCAATGTTGCAAGCTTAATCCTTGGTTAAAATACTTATTTAAAGAAACCACCTGCTGTCACTCCTGGGTCACTGCCAGGAGTCATGTCACAACATGCTTCTAATCGGTAATAGCATCTCTGCTTCTTGTTCGCAGAGAAACCAAGGCTGGCCACAGCCACCATCCCATCTCCAAAGCTCAACACTGCCCATGAGAAGCAAGGTTCAGTCCATGTATGGACCACTTGGGAGAGGTGGGGAGGAAGGAGAGAGGGAAGGAGACACTTGTCTTAGAAGCAAAACCATCCTAGAACAGAAGTTTCATATCTGAGTTCACACTACCTCATCTTATAGAAAATAGGTTGGAGAGCATCTGTAAAACCAACAGTATCTTTAAGGTGAAACTGCAGAATTTTGCTGCATACCTGGACACGAGAGAAGTGGAAAGTTGCAACAAGTTTTAACTAGCAGCAACAAAGATAGTTCATTAACAGTTTTCTGTTGTTTTTAGCAAGATTCCTTTGCAGGTTCATTAAGAAACACTGTAATTTAATGGGGCATACGATATGGAACGATCTTCTTTTGTTATAGTGCTGTTCGCTGAAGAGAACCGACCTTTGCAAAGATTTCAATTGGGGTGTAACCTATTTACACAGTAGTAGCTCCGGGTTTGAGTAATAGAATTGGCGCTATGTGATGTCCTCTTCTTCCGAACAGTAATCTCGACCCTTAGGGAAAGAAAAGAAGAACATGTGAATGAGAAACTCAGAGCAGAGCCTGAAATAAATACTTGAAATTAATTTTCTCTCAGAAAAAAATTCCAGGATTTATCAACAACTGCTGGGAGTGCAGTGAGCACAGAGTATAAAATATCAGGCTGCTAATCAAAAGATTTGCAGTTCAAATCCACTAAACGCTTCTTGAGAGAAAGATGGAAAGTCACCTCCCATGATAACTTACAGCCTTAGAGATTTGAAGGAGAGTTGCTGTGTGTCAGAAGTGAGTTAATAATTGTTGTTGTTATGTGCCACTGAGTTGCCTGTAACCCAAAGCGACTCTATGTACATACAGCTCTGGAGCCTGCCCTGTCCTGAACCTGACTCCGACACAACTACTTTCACCTGTTCTAGTTATAGTCCAATCATTAGTTTCTGTATCAATCCATCTCATCTAGGGTCTTCCTCTTCTGCGCTGTCCTTCCACCCTTCCAAGCATGATGTCTTTCTCCAAGGACCTTTCCCTTCTGGAGATGGAGCTTCAAAATCCTAGACTCAAAGTAGAAATGTGGCTTTACCCTCTCTAAGACAGACCCTATTTGTTTTCTTGGCAGTCCATGGTATGTTTAAGACTCTTCTCCAGCACCACAACTCACAGGCATCAACTCTTCTCTGCCATCCTTAGTCATTGTCCAGCTCTCTGATGAAGAGCAAGTAATTGTGAAGACCATGGCCTGGATCAGGTGCACCTTAGTCTCTGGACTGACATTGTTATTTCTTAGTACTTTTTTGTTTTGTTTTTTTGTTGTTGTTGTTTATTTTCGGTGGTGGACACTTATGGATATGTTTTAAATGTTTATTGGCTGATTATATAAACAATATATACCTTATGAAGTCTGTGGGGGAAAGGGTGCAGAACATTAATGTGCTAGTCTGCTAAATGAAATGGTGTGAGTTTACCTACCCAGAGATGCCTTAAGGTTTGGTGACTTATCTGCAAAAAATTGGCCATTGAAACCTTGTGGAGCACAGTTCTACCCTGACACACAGGCATTCACACACATGAATCAGAATCAACTGGACAGTAATCAACTGTGCAGTCAATCTTCCCAGGCCGAGGAATACTCTCAAAAGTCATCCCCACTGCCCGTGTTCCAGGTGATAATATGTTTATTGTCACATAGGGCTTGTAATCCGGTTTAAATGGGTAAAATACAGTGCTTGGCAGAGTCAATAAATTGTAGCTGTTGCTATTATTATTATTATTATTGTAGCAGTAAGAAGCTGTTCTGAATTCCCAAAGGTACATGGTTCGAATCTACCAGCTCCTATGTGGGAGGATGGGTAATCTCCTCCCATTCAATGAATGCCTCTGAAAAGACTCGACAGCACACGCAATGGCAGTCATTATAACTGTTGTCATGATTCGCCCTGTGCTTGTTTGATCCCCTGGCAGGTTGCAGAGGGGCTTCCTTCCTATGGCTGCTAGGGAAGTGAGGACCGTGGTCCGAGCTGTCACTGTGGGGTTCAAAAGAATCTCACTCAAAAAGTAGAACTTGGAAACAACACATACACACATTCACAAAATGTTCTCCTCATTGATAAAACAGTGCCTTCAACTCCATAAATGCTTTACAGGGTTATGTCGCTGAAGGGGCACTTCAGACCCTCCAAGTTTATGGCTACAGTCAGAGCCCCCTTTCATATAAAAACGTTCTCTGTAAATGAGGAGCCCTGATGGTGAAAAGTGGATTAAGCAAGGCTCTGCTACTGACAGGCTGGTGCTTTGAATCTCCCAGTTGCTCCATGGCAGAAGGCTGTGGCACATTACAACCTTGAAAACAATTGAAAAAAGAAAACAAAATTTGAATTCATTGCAGTCAAGGTGAAACTGACTCCTAGTTGACCCTCTGATAGTTTGTCAGAGGTTGTAAATCACATGGGAGGCGACTGCCCATCTTTCTCCCACACAGCAGCTGGTGGATTCAAACCACCCACTTGCGGGTTGGCAGCACAATCTCCTACCCACTAAGCTACTATGCAGTCCTGTAGCATTGCTATGAGTCAGAAACTACTTGATGGAACTTGATTTGGTGAATTAGTTCTCTGTAAATGTAATTCTTGGCAACTTTCATTTCCCAAGTCTATGCTCCTCTAAAATTATTATAACAGCCCCGAGGAGGAAGAAAATGGCACTGGTGGTTTCACAGTGATGGTATTAATTTCACACCAACCCTGGGAGGGAGAAATGGTGCCTGGTGAATTGTGAGGAAACTAAGAGAAGCTGGGGAAGATCCAAGACCACAGGTTGGCCCATCCTTTTTTAGTTACATCTGCAGCGACTTGATAACTAAACTCGAATTCAAATCAGTTCCACTTTCGTTATTATCATTCTGTTAGCAGCTTGGAGAACTAAATATTTTAGTAACAGAAAATTTGGAAATCAAAACCACACTGACTGTAAGAGTAACCATATGGGCTTCAGATGCAGTTCTAAGACTGGGGAGCCTGAGGAAGCGCTCTCACTGAAAGGTTCGTCTTGGCCTCACATGAGTCTATGTCCGCATCAGCCCCATGTATAAGACAGGGAACTCCCACTGCAACATGAAATCATGTCTCATTTAAATTTGTAAAGAACTGTGTTAGGAAAAAAAGGAAAAGGCAGGAAATGGGAGTGAGCCAGTGTGGTGATACACAGCAATTCTCTTAAAGGACTACAGAATGGGTGTCTTTGTAAAGACGCTTCACATAGTTAGAAACAGGGACTGTTAAGGCACAATCTTACCCTTGTGCAAAGGACACACTGTATGCTACAGAGTAAGATCCGCAGAAGAACAGAGCAAGCTGGAAGAATGTAAATGCCTGAGGATGCAGACAAGGAAGGGTTTGTTTGAAGGAACCCTAAGGGCATGCTAGTGTAGATTCTCAAAGCTCCTTTTAAATGACACTTAAATCCAATCCACAGCAATTCTGGAGGACAGAGAAGATCTGCCCTACAGAGTTTCCAAAGGTAATTCTGATGGAGGCAGATGCCCTACCTTTCTCCTGTGGAGCCACAGGTGTGGTTGAACTGCTGACCTTTGAGTTAGCAGTCGAGTGCTTTACCTATTTTGCCACCAAGGCTCCTCCAAGGAGCTTTACTTCCCTGAATCTCCCTTTTCAAGCCCTGGCACTGTGTTTGGGCTTCCATGTTCTTTTCAGCTGTCTGGGAAATGAGTTTTTTCCGCCCCTCTGCATTCTATAGGGTAATTCAGAGGAGTTTTTGTTTAAGTGTCTTGTTGCTGTTGTTATGTGCCATCAAGTTCCTTGTGACTCAGAGTGACTCTATGTACAAGAGCCCTAAACCCTGCTCTGTCCTGTGCCAACTTGTCTCCGACACACCTACCTACCCTCAGGACCCCAGTCACTGTATCAATCCATCTCATCGATGGTCTCCCTCTCTTTCTCCGTCCTTCCATCCATTAAAGCACGATATCCCTCTCCAAGGACCTCTTTGCAACATAACCAAAGTATGTCAGACGAAGCTTCAGAATCCTTGCCTCCAAAGAGCAAGCCAGCTTCACCCTTTCTAGGATAAACCTGTCAGTTCTCCTGGCAGTCCATGGTATATTCAAAACTTCTCCAGCACTACAGCTCAAAGGCATCAATTCTCTTTCTATCATCTCGAGTCATCGCCCTCTGATGCATAACAAGCAACTGCAAAGACTATGGCCCAGATCAGGTGCACCTTAGTCTCCAGACTCACATCTTTGTTCTTCAGTACTCTGGAGATGTCCCTGACAGCTGACCTTCCCAATGCAATTTGTCTCTTGGTTTCCTGGCTGCTGGTACCAAGAATGTTTGTGGAGCCAAGTAAACTAAAGTTGTTAACAATCTCAATTTCTTTGATTAAGTGTCTAGGGTATGCATTCAAGAGAAGATTAAGGAGTAGAAAAAGTAAGTATATTCTAATTTTAAATATTGCTAGTTTGGAAGGAATGAGCTCAAGGAGGGCCTTTAAAGAAACACACTGTCCTTCTAAAGTGTCTAGTACTTTTCTTCCTCTTAGGGCTAAAATAGATAAATAGTCTGGGATTTGCCAGAGAGTAGTGCTACTATATTCCATAGTGAATTTTGCTGCTAACCAAAAGGCCATGTGTGTCCAGTGGTTTGGATATACTCACAGCTTTACGAGAGAGAGAAAGATGGGCAGTTTCCTCCCATCACAATTTATAGCGTCAGAGCCTTGACAGAGAGTCACTGAGTGGAACCCGCTCAACAGCACTGATTTTGAGTTTTACCTTTTAAAAATATCTTTGGTATATTTCTGTGTGCCTTCAGCTTCTATGTTCACTTTACGCATTCAACAATCAACTGTGAACTGAGAAATTTATCATTGGAATAGACTAGATGAATACTGCTAGGGACATGTCCCTTCTGTGAAATGGGGAGAATAAGACCTAATTTGCAGTAGCTTTGGGAATTAGAAGAGGGATACATCACAAGGTTTTTGGTAAAACTGGGCACATTTATAAATTATTGCTCTTATTATTAGAGTGAAGGCCTCCAGTGGCCTAACGGGGAAGGAGTTGCACTGCCAAGCCAAAGGCAGGTTGTTTAAATTCCCCAGTTGTTCCATAGGCGAAAGACTGGCCGTCTCATCCTGTGTGATTTACAGCCCCTGAAAACCTACTGGAGAGTCAGCTTTGTCTCTGTGGCACACACAACATTATTATAGTGAAAACCGAGACCCATTTATCCAATCATTAATCCAGATTAAAACTTGAGCCCTCAGCTGAATCCATTACACACAAACTAAAAAACTCAAACTCATTGCCATCAAGTTGAAACCAACTCATAGTTGACTCTCCAGTGGGCTTTCAGAGACTGTAAATCGTAGGGGAGGAGACTGCTCATCTGTCTCCTGAAGAACAGCTGGTGGACTGGAACCACCAGGGAGGGGTCACAATCCCCCACCCCAGGCTACCGGTTCTCAAAAAAAACAGGTATGCTTCCATCCTACGGCCTGCGTG